CGCGCCGGTTGGGTCGGCGTGGCCGGCGGTGGTGCGGAGGGGGGCGGCGGCGGCGGCGGCGCTGCACGCGGCAAGAACCCTGTTGGGCGCGGGGGTGGCCAACCCTTGCTCGCCCACCCCCGAGCCGCCCTTTTGGAAGATGCCGCACAAAGGTCGGTGCAAGAATCAGTTCATCATTTACTTTTATTTACGCGGATCACTGTGAGAAAACGAGGTGTTTGGCGATTGACCGGAATAGCATTGACGCCGCAGGTACCCGATAATCGGTAAACAAATGGCTGATTTTTTTTATATTCACTCAGCAAATGAGAACTACTGACAAAAATTCCTTCGTCGATGGATGGAATCATTTGCGAGAACTATAATTGATTTGTTCTGCGAGAAAACTAATTAATTACCGAATACTTTGTTTAAATAAAGATGTGGGAAACTCTTTTATGGTACGAAGTATTATAAGAGTAAGTCACTATCTCAAGAATAATTTTTCAATTTTAATTGGAGAAGTAACTATAGTTAAGTACGAAATAAAGTAAATAGATCAGAACAATTTTATTGCATTCAACCGAACAACGCATGGCAGAGAAAAATTTGACTCTTTTTATAAATTTTTGGACTGTCGTGCGTTTCCACGAGTTCTTTAATTATAGTGGTTTCTTGAGAAACAATCTGACTGTTACTTGATGGTTAGAGTAAAACGGAATTTCAGTAATTAATCCATGTAAGTTTATTAACTCGCAAGTATGCGTATCTTACAGTCCTAATTAAGTAATCAAGAATCAGTTGCGCTCAGAACTCTCACTAACTCTAAAAATATTTAAGATGATATATAAAAAATAAGATGATATTCAAAAATAAGAGAATTAAGATGGTATATATAAACAAAGATAAAAAATAACATAAGATCTTTCCAAAACTTTTCACTGAAATCGTTAAGAATTACATTGTTTAGACATATTAAATATTCAAGATGTTAAAAATATTAAGTATTAAAGATAGTAATGTCATGTTTAACCCTCCAGAGTTGACATCAAAACCTGTAACACAATTACTGGCACTAAGTCTGTGAAATCCACATTTAATATGTCAGTTTCTTATTTCAAACGTATCTAATTAAAAAAAAACGTGATTTTTGTTGAATCTCTCTCTCTCTCTCTCTCTCATACTATAAATTAATTAGATGAAAATTATCCTATCATCAAAAGTAAATTAATTTAATTTTTTATAAAAAATTGTTACAACTTAAAAAAGGTAGTTTAAAAAAAATCGTCACAACTAAAAAAGAGTAATTTTTTTAAAAGGTTATGAAGCGAAAATAACAAAAATGCATTTGAAATGTTAAGAATATATTCTTTTGCTGATATTATTGATTATTCAATAAAAAAACAATTTCTTTTTCTTTTTTAGAAAACTTAATTTTTTGAGTATCACTTTTGAAGTAAGAGATATGTTGATTAAAAAGTCCTACTTAATTTTAAGGAATTAAAATAACATAACTTTCCTAACTATGAAAAATGAATACTAAGTTTATTTTAATAACAATAATTCAAATTTGTAGATGTAAAATAAAAATATAGTTGAGTGGGTCCAATAGAGACTCACGTCAGTTCCGGAAGGTTAAATATGACGTTAAATTTGATCCTCACGACTTTCTTCATAAGGTTTTAAATATGAGGATAAAGTATTTTATTGATTATCGATAAAGGACGTTTTGGAGCGACAACATATCGATTAGAGTATACGATCTTAATATTTGTTTTTGCGGTATATAGCGTGTTATTTTCACGTCTCATCATGCTATCATTCGTGGGATGATATTCGAGTAGACAGGTAATGGCGCGAATTACTTCATGTATTATCCTTCCCATAATCCCTAACTTAATAGTAGACAAGTAAATCGTAACTTATGCGAATCAAAGTTTTCTTAAGGTAGATGGTTTTGATAAACTTACAGCCCTTCCGACGAACTCGTGATGAGAGTTATACGGGAAAAGGGACGAGTAAATACGCGTACGCTTATGAGCTTAGGTGAACTCGCGGTTACCCCCGGGGGTTAGTTGGTAACTTGACACGCCTTTGGTCGGCTTCTGTCGGGCCAGCAGCCCCTTCGCCAGTGATTCCGGCGAGGCGAAGGGTAGTGGCCCTCTTGCACCTCGAGAGATTCGTCCTCGCGACCCCAACGCGCACCACACCCGGCAACAATCGGTTAGGCTGACTCTCGGTTAGGCTGACCTCCCTTTCTTCGTACCCCCCGACAATAAGCGTGGGCTGCTTACACCGCCAATTTGTCTCGACGCAACGTAATCTTTCTCTCCGGTCGAGGATTTACCCACACTTTATTCCAGAGCGGAGACGCGGCCCACGCGAGATCATAATGGGACTTGTAGGAGGGTAAGTGCTTCCCCCCCTCTTTCTCTTCCTATAATGCCCCCTCCTCGCATTAGCTAGGAGGCGGACAATGCTCGCGTGGCACGAATGCGCCCTTCTTTCATTCGTCCAACTACTAGTCTGCTTCTTCTCGTATTTTCTCCTTCTCTTATGTACTGTATGTATATGTCAGGAAATGAGAGGGAGGGAGAGAGAGAGATAGCGCTTCCTCTTACTTCGGTTCTCCATAAAAACCCCAGAAGCTATTTGGAATCAAACGGCCGATTCACGAGAGCGCTTTATTTCGTTCTCGTCGCTACACGAGATTTGTTAATGGTTATGGGTTCCGCGCGTTGGTTACGGGCTCTGGATCGAATCTCGCGCGTGCCAGAGCACGGAGGCTGCGGAGATTACCTGCCTCCGCTGTTCCAAGGGGGTAATAAATGTCGGCGCTGCGGGATTATCCCCGCGATCAATCAATAGAGACCGCGGTTCCGCAATACGTCCGCGAGACACGCCGATAACTTTTGCCTGTAGGTATATATGTAGGTATATGTAGGAGAGCTTCGAATTCGCCAGTTTGGTTCTCCGGTTTACGTGGCTGTCGGCGTATTAGGACGGAAGCTACAGTGTATTCCGTTACATTCGGTTTATTTGAAAGTAACTGCAGGCGGATTCTAGAACACTTTATGTGCGTGTATGAAAAGCTATTAATTTATCCTATTAAGCCTCCAGAGCTGGCTAAGTTTATTGGATCCCACTCATTTATATATATTCTTTATATTTTATCTGGAAATTTGAATTATTGTAATAAATTATTATGTGTACCAAAGAGCAACACATGTTCATTAAAAGACACTAATTAATTTCAAATAATAAATCGACACGTATGAAAAAATACTAAAGCCTGACATTTGTAATCCATTTTTATTTCAAGACTGTTCTAAGTAATGTCTTAAGATACTAATATTAATCGGCTCTCTGATTGGTTCATGATATCTTAAGACATTTGAGACTGCCTTAAGCATAAAATTTGATTATGAATATCGGCCTAAAATAAGTATTTTTTTAATACGAGTTATGTCATTTTTGTTCCTTGAAATTAATTAGTATTTTTTAATGAACATATATTAATCTTTAATATACACGACGATTTTCTGGTCCTTCATTACAGTATCCCGAATTAATTTTCATCACTTTAACAAATATACAAGAATTATTAAGTGATTCTTACATATGCTTTAATATTATTTGAAAGTATTTATAAGGTTATATATTTTTAAAAAATTGTATATAAGTAAATATGTAACTAATTATTTGATGTGCTTCAAGTTTTTGAATAGAAATATGCAGAACACAAATGACCCAGTTGTATGTACCAAGAATTATGGGTCTTACAGACCCAGCGTCAGTAATTGTATTACAGATTTTGGCATCAGCTCCAGAGGATTAAACATTAATAGGTGTAATCAAGCCATTAAATCTTTTGCAACACATTCGCAACACATTTCGTTTGCAATTGTCAAATGGAGAATAACCCAAATGAAGATAACTCGTTCATGAGCGCGAAGAATTGAAAAATCAATTAAACGCCGATGGCGTGAAGAAACTACATACGAATGACAAGCTAGTTACTTCGATGATCTCAAGGTTTGCTGTTGCATTTACGTTACGACAATAGCTCCTTTCGACAATGAGCGTTTATCGAGTCGGGATTTCACGGTCCGTTATCCCGTTTACCGGCGCAAAACTTATTTAATCGTTGCGCAGCGGCGTCGAGATTATCGCGTTATCTCGCGTATTCCCGCGTGAAGCATCTTGTTATACGTGAATAGTAACGAACGCGCGAACGTACGTGAATTACTAACCCCGCGGCCATAAGTTCGGTATTTACCTGGGAAAAGCTACAGGGAAGACACATACTTGTGAGCCTGCCTTACACACTGGTGTCAATAATAACGAGCGCCGTAATGAGTATGCGTTGCCGGGGGATGGCGGGTTGCTAATACTGCGCCGTCGCCTCTTAACACCGTCCGTAATGAATTCGTCGTCTCTCGGAGCGCTCTTACCGCGATTCAACTCATTAGAGAGCGTATGCCTGGCACGCCATCTTTGATGTCGTTGAAAGACGCGCACGAGATGAACTTCTCTCTCTCGCTCTCCATCGTATTCGCCGAGTTTATGACGAAACGCTCGGAGGCTGTACCCCGGCTCGGCAGCACCCTTTTCCCTCCCAACCCAGCCCCGGTTTGCTCTTCCTTCGGAATCTCTACCAACGTGATAATAACGTTTAGTCGGTGACACTCGACAAACGCGTCGACTTCAGAAGCGCATCCGACCGCTCGACGTTATGCCGCTAACAGATTCCAAGACTGTCGCCGGAAATGATCGCGACTAGATCTTGTAAATGTTCAGTGAGAACATTAATATGATGATAGTTCTGGAATAAAAGACTCCACATTAATTATATGGAAAATTGGATTTCGGTGAAATGAGTTAGTTTTTAACGTGGTGAATAAAAGATGTTATATAAACGTAAGGCTCGATAATGGATAGTTTTTGAGCTACAGTGTATTAAAGATGTTTACAAGTTTGACACTTTTGATTCTTCATAACTCAAAATCTACTCTTTATTAACCTTTATGTCTGACGTCTTTTGTTCACCACATTATAAGCTACATTATACCTACGTGAAAATTAGCTCATTTCACTAGCACCCAATGTACCATATAATTAGTATGGGATCCTTTCTTGAAGCCTCTCTTCCGTTATTTATTCAATTATTAGTTATTTGCCGTCACATTTATCTTAATTTTCAATGTAAACAATTGGATAATTGAGTCGCGGTAAATGTTCGTTAATTCTCGATTGTGTATACTTACAATACTGGGAAACAGGCTGACTCTAAATGTCTTTTTTTTTTCCCTAGCAGTCTAATAACACGTTTTGTATTATCGCAACGGAAATATCTGTTTTGTAATCGCTTCTGTTATATCAAGCTCGGAGAGTTGGACGATTTATGTGTGTCTAATTAATGCGGTCGGCGCGCATAATTATATTATTTAGCGTATGCGCGACGCAACGACGAGAGGTGAAAGCAATTTGGTCGCGAAAACGATATTTTTTATGGATGTCAACGGATAAACAGCAGTTCGTTAAATGAATTCGAACCGGCACACTCTGTAACTGATTACGTTCGGCCGGTTTCGAGTCGCAACGCGGGACTAATTACCCGCAAACTATTATTACATCCCATTAAACAACTATTCCGCTGCAAACTTTCCGTCATCGTTGGAAATTGGAGTGGCGCATTAGCCGCTCCGCTGAACTGTTTTGTTTCTATTATCGGGTAACGATCAATCGTTCCTTTCCAACGGGTTTAATGTTTGTTCGTCTAGGATCTATGTATGCACACAATGACTCACGAAATTGATCAAGTGTTTCGACATTTTTGAAACTGTAATGCATCGCCTACAATATGCAGAGTAGCTTGGTGTAAGAAGGAAAAGTAAGAATTGACCAATTACATTCGATCATTCTCACATTCGATCATGATTAGTCAATTTGTTACTCTTGTTTTTTATACCAAGCTTACTTCGTATATTGTAGACAACATTAACGTTTCTGTGCAATTTCTTATACACTGTAAGAAGTATCGGAGTGTGGATTTAACATGCGGTGTCTGTATAACTCTCACTGTGTGTTTATTAATACCAACATGGTGTGGATTTCAAGCCCTTGAAGTTTATATCAACATCATCATGGTGTGAATTTAACACACCCATGGTGTTAAATTCACACATCGCATTGATGTTAATATTATCATATTATAGCACAGTGAGAATTACACAGATGCTATTTTTTAGAGTGTATTAACGCTTAGAAATTCAAGAGAAAATAAGTCATTTAGTTTAACTTCCGTTCTCATTGTCGAACAGACCTCACAAAAATTTCCATCGAGGACCCAATTACAAAGTCGACTCGCCAGCTCGCTACATTCGTCGCGTCTATTCGCGCATCTTAAATACCTTGACTGGCGATCGTTTTCGCGCTTAAAGACCGCCTCTCGTCCGGCGCAGAGATCAGGAGGAGGGGGATGTTTGGCGAGGGTGGCAAGGGGTGGCTCGACCGAGCGAACCGACGCAGGGAGGCCGGGGGAGGCCGGGGGAGGACGAGGGTGCCGCGACGTCGTGCGCCGGGGTTGCACAGGATGGGATTTAATCTGTGTCCCGTTTCACGCTCAGCCAAGTGGAACCTTTTTGCCTCACTTTGCGGCGCGACTCGCTTTTGCGCCGCACCGCCGCGTAGATTAACGCGAAATTATATATAAAGAATGTGTGCGACCGGCGCGGCGGGTGTGTGCACGGGTCGACGGCGTCGGGCTCGGGCGATATTCGAGCCCTCTCACCGACATCATCCCCGTCTG